AAAAAATTCTATGGGAGGGGCGCTGTAGCGCAATATAGGTTCAGTGGCTCCTCCTTTTTTCCAGTGACTCCGCCTCCAGACTCCGCCCCTAATGACCGACTTCCAGTGAAAAATGAGATTGCAGGACGAAAAAGCATGATAATCGCCACTTGTACGATCGTAGAAATCTTATCGGTGAATCAGCCGTGCATATGAGGGCGTAGTTTTGGAGATAGAGTTGATTGGGCACGTAAGAGTTGATTGGGCACGTACAAACTGGGATCGAAATGGGGTTCTATCTAGGGCAGGTGGCATGTTTTTTGTGCTTTTTTGTTCACAGTCGAGTTACTCAACCCCTTGTCGTCTATATGGAACCCCCTAATCCACCATCTGAGATGGCGAGTAATCGCGGGTTCTTCCTTTAAGACAGAGTACCAAATTATCCTACCAACTGCCTTTGAATACAAACCGTACACTCGCCTTCGGGGACGGTCATTTCCATGTGCGAGGCGAAGGGGTCCGCAGCTTCAGTGCCATTTCATCCGCTCAGAAATGCAAAGGAATCGGGCTCACGAGTAGTGATACCAGGGCACCATCTCCATACTCCGTTCGCGCTCTTTCAAGAGTGCAGCACTTGCATCGACCAAGGTCCAACTGCGAACCATGTACCTCGCGGTACAGAATAATTAGAGATGAGAGATGGAAAGAAACAGCGCGTTTGGCTATGGCGAACCGGCTGGCTGATGCGGTAGCGCGGGCGGAGTATGGATACGGTGTCTGGAGATCACTAACGTCACCCTCATTCCTCTGCACTTTTGAGTGGAGAATGTAGTGAGCTACTGCAGCTGGGCACCCGTACTCCCCATACACGGCAAATCGGAGGTGGGTCGACAGTTCATCTTGAAGATGCACTCCTTCGTTGATTGTGCGGCTCTGAGTGCTCCCGCATTTTCACACACCAGTCGACTGCTCGAAGTCAGCTATGAAAATTACTGGAATGAGTCTGGGGTCTTATTTAGGATGTCTGCGCTGCGTTTCATGTGCTTTTTTCTTTACTTTTTTCGACTAGCACCTACGTTTCCGTTTCTGCACGCATTATCTGAGACTTGCAATCGCGGAATCGGTCAGCACTACCGGAATCGGTATCCATATGCAGTACCCTAGTGATAATGCAACATAAGAAAGAAAGGTGAAGTGAATCCGGCTTACGAAACTCTAAAAACTCCCCGAAAATCTCGATCTCGCTTGTCTGCATAGAGAAGAAACTGATACAGTGAGCGTAACAAGATGCGCTTAGAGTCAGATCTGCGCTCAAGTAATCTGTGGTCTGTGGTTTCTTATGCAGGTAGCCCAGCCCTCAAGCTAAAATATTTTCCCATTTTCGCGACTTCACAGCGAGCGAGGAGAGTGCTACAGGCGCTGAAAGTTCTAGTTCCAAAAGTTCCGCTCAGTTGGACCGCCCACTTTCTAGATGTCCTCTCCATATCTGACGCAGGGCCGCTCAGTTATTGTTTGTTGGGACGGCAGCATAAATCGGACTTGCATAGCCATTTTTGCCGACCACAGTCGTGCATAGGCGTTTTGCTCTCCTTTTTTACATTTTCTTCGTTAGGAGGATATACGGTCAACGGTAAGGTAAAACGTGATCAAATCACCAGCAATGCAATTGTCCGGTGCAAAGAATGGGCGTCCAAAAAAATCCACGCTACCGTGATCCTGAATTCGCGCGCAGGGTTTTCAAAAGTTTCTTTTGTTAGAGTTTTGCGTCAAAGTTTTTTGTTTTTCTTTTCTTTGCACTGGATGGTATTCAATATTGGAAAATGCGAAAAAGCGATTTATAAGCCAGGAGCTGTTGGGCTTCTTCCTTCTTTGGAATTGCTAACAGCTTAACAGCTGTAGTTCATAAATAAACAGACACCATCCGCGACACTTAATCGTTAACTTCCTTCAAAACATTCGGAAATGAAAACAATTACACGGATTCGCCTACACTTCATAATCAGCTCATCGCCGTTAGAAGCTGCTTTGAGACCAGGGCGTAGTAGAGGCCTTCAGGTTCTTCCATCAAACTTTCATGCGTACCAATCTAGCAAAAAAGAATGATAAGGTAATGAATGTAAGAGAAAAAAAATGAAAGATGGATTAATGATCGCACCTGAATAACACTTCCTTTTTGGATCACAGCAATTGTATCAGCTTTTTCTACGGTTGAAAGACGATGAGCGACTATTAGCACAGTTAGCTTGCCAGAACATCTTAAGAGAGGAGTTGAGTTTCTACACAATGTACGAACCTTGAATTTTGTACTACGAATAAGCTTACAGCCAAATACGTAGGGGTTTGGGGGGATTGCAACAACCTCAGCAAGGAACTATAAAAGGTACACGTCGCAGCTTATTCAACAAAGTTTACACTGGAGCAGCACCAGTTGCCCTTGACATTTTGAGAAGAAAACTTTACAGGCTACTGTATCCAGGATGATCGAAATGATCAGCATTGCTAAGGCCAAACATTGCTACAGAACGTAAGGAGGGACGGAGGTTCACGTGCTTGACAAGTGCGACGCGAGCTACGGAGATGAAGTTCGCGTCGCATTTGTCGAAGCACACGATGAGTACTTTCTAATGGCGAAGTGGGACTTTGTGCGACGGGAAAGTCGCAAACAGACAGGAGACCAGAGTCAAGCCTACGTCGCGAAAACCGCGAAAGGTGGGGAGGGGGGTCGCATCTGGCTCTCACGGCAGGGGAGAGGGTCGTATTTGCAGAGATCAGCAGTTAATACAGTCGGGATGACACGTTCGGGAATAAAGACGAGTACATGGCGCATTCCATGGAGATGTGATTAGCACCTCTGCACGCAGTTCCTATTCACTTTGGAGGAGGAGATGTAAGGGAGGCCTACCGAGCTTCCTAGATGGAAATGAGGGCTTTGCAGTGGGATCCTTATGCTGCAGCTGAAGCTGAGTTAGAAATGGAAATCAGTGACAGGCGATTTTTTAAGCTACAAAAAGATGTTGGGCTTGTTAGAAAGAGAAAACATTCTATCCCCCCTACGCCATGTAGTTCTCCATTCTGCATTATGTACTGCGAAGTTATAACCTTCCAAAAGCAAAAAAAAACTCGCGTTCGCGTGGAATTCCCGCGTTATTTTTGTGATTTTCCGCGACGGGCGAATTTTCGCTGTTACTAAGCTACAGCGTACCTGTCGCGCTCATTCGAAACATAGAACCTTCTGGTTTTCGATGCCGTGTGAATCTCCCTTATACGTTATGTTCAAGCGATGAAGTTTCCATTGAAATTTAATCGCCTCCGCGTTATTTTCTGGCCGTCATTCTCTGGCCAGAAGCCGTCATTGGAGAACAGAACACGTGGAGCACGCCCACGGGACAGCACTCATCACAGGGAAGGTGCCGATTTCAGACCAACTTTAGGAGTTTGCGGAATGATCCACACAAAATGCACTTCTCCTTCTGGACAGCCATGGCGACCGGTTGATTCTTACTCGTGAGTCGGAATTGCACCCGCTGGAGGACTCTTGGAGGACACTTCTATCGTTAGTTTCGGCGGCATTATCCATTACGATATGTTCCGTTGCTGAGCTGACGCCAAATGGCATGACCGCCAAAAATGAGTATTCTATTTGTGATCAGAACCGTCAGCTACAGACGAGGATTGGGAGGATGATTGGACATCAGCGAACATGCTCAAATGCCCACTGGGAATCTAGTCGAGTGGCGGAAAAATGCTTGGGACGTCCTGCACAACCTCGAATTTTCAGCGTCACTGCCGCTCAAATAAGCGTCGACGCTGGAATGCGAACGATATTCCCATGATAAATGACTGCAGTGTTACTTATCAGTGCAGCAGACAACTTTTAGTCTCAGTCTTGCGGATTTCCGACAGGTTGCGTTAGAGGAATTTTAGTCACTTTCCAAAGGCACATCAGATAGTATACACCTCATCTCGGATGGCCAATTTGTCCCGAAACGATCAGCCCGCATTACGACTTTTTGGAAAAAATTGTTAAATTGAGAAATGAGTATGTTACGGTCAGTTGCCTCTTCACAAGGTAGTAATGCACAAGGTCACAAGGTAATGATAACAAGTAAGGTGTGACTGTAAGCACAACATATGCATCAAGCTTTTGAACCTCTTTCGATTCCGCAAGCTCTACCTATTCCTCTTTCTTTGCTGTGGACCTCCTTTAATAAACTGCTTCAGTAAGCTTCCAAAATAACTCAGAAAGGCATCCTATGTTAGCTTTGTCTATGAGGTAGAAATTGAAACTTTCGAATGGTGTGGACGGTTTTCTGCTTTCCAAGAGACATTGCTTCCTGGCCCTATACCCTTATCGGCCTCTGCAGTTTCAGCATTTTGACATAACATGACATGGAGCTCAAATAGGAACGGCAATCTAGCCTGCCAAGAACGACCGCGACTTTGAATGGGAATCAAGTGCCTCTTAAAGGCACGGTCCGCGATCAGGTATAAGTCGGACATGGTGTCGGGATGGTAGCGAGGTCCGCGTAAAACCTCGTACCGGTTCCGCGGCAAAAATTGTAAGAGAGGGGCGCTATAGCGCAATAACAGGTTCAGTGACGCCTCCTTTTTTCCAGTGACTCCGCCTCCAGACTCCGCCTTCAAGGCCCGCCTTTCAGTGAAAAACGAAGCTGCAGGACGAAAAAGCATGAAAATCGTCACTTGTACGGTCGTAGAGTTCTTATCGGGGAATCAGCTGTGCGGATGAGGGCGTAGTGTTGGAGATGGAGTTCATTGGAGCACGTATGAACTGGTATCGACATGGGGTTCTATCTGGGGCAGGTGGCATGTTCTTCTATGCTTTTTTATCCACTATCGAGTTTAATGAGCACCTTGTTGTCTATATGCAAACTCCTAATCCACTATCTGTGACGGCTAATGATCATGAGCTTTGCCTTTAAGAAAGAACTTGATTGATGACTAGCAATTTTGTTTTCCAAAATATGGGGACATCCATGAAACAGCATATTTTGCATTGGCTTTCACACCAGTGATGGCAAGTCAACGCACCGATTGATTGCCTCTTGGACTTGAGCTTCCGACTCAGCATCGAGAGCACTGGTGGCTTCGTCAAGAATCAGCACACAAGGTTTTCGTACCAATGCGCGAGCGATTGCTATACGTTGTTTCTGACCACCTGAGATAGAAAATTTTGACTGAGATCGTGAAACTGGTCATGGGAGAAAACTGCCGGCTACCACACCTCATAGCTGAACTAGGGTTATGTTCACCAAAATGAGGACCGGTATTTCATGAATACTGGGCCATTTATTATAGTATTATAGTATGTTGTGAACAGAAGTTTTGGGTATTCACGATTTCTCTCAGCTTTAGCACACAAGATTGTGAGTTTGTTCCACTTCCTTTTTTGCATGAGTCTGTTCCAATTCTGGACGATACATAAGAGAGGTTGAATAGAAGGGCAGCATTGTGTGGACAGCGTTCACCATCAAAGGCACCACTTTGCATTCGAAAATGGTTTTTTAGTTAGATGAGATCTCGTACTCTTTGGAGATCTTTACTATATGTATATGGAAACTGTATCCTCTCTCGAAGTTTGCCAAACCGCTTCCGCTCTACAATCGCTACAAGGGATCCGCTCTACAGAGTTTCAAAGTGATCCGTTCTCCAAACCTACCCGACATCTGTACGCCTCGATCACCACACAAGGTGTCGTATTTCTTTTCCAACTCCATAACGAAACCGTGCACATTGGCCATTTCAGCGGCCTCCAGCATATCGGTCTCGGTAGCCCACTCACACCCATAAAGGATGTTATCTTTAATACTTCCATTGTACAGAACTGGTTCCTGTGCCACTAACACTACCTGAAAAAAAAATGATCAGAAGTACACTCCTTATCCCTGAGGCGGAGTGGGCGTGGCATTTGAGCCATGGTCTAGGACGGGTTACTCGTGGGATGTATCACATTAAGACAACTGTCATCTTGTTCGATGTTGACCAACAACTTGATTACAACTGCCTCAAAATGATAATATCTCACGATATGCTTTGCCGCCGCCATGTTCAGCTGGAGTACGCAACCACGCCTACCTCATCTCAGGGATTCCGAGTGTACAACTCAGATCCGCCACGGTACGTGGTCCTTTCAAAGTGACCAGAATGACCTATGCACAATGTTGAGAAAATGATTACCGATTAAAACTTCAGAGGAATGAAACGAAAATTGAGAAAATGACCAGTAATTATTTCTTGCTTCCCAACCTAAGAAAAGACTTCCGTGGAAAGCGTGGGAGAAGTCCAACAGAATCGTCCGGGGCAGCGCCCGCCGCACGCGGCGCGTCGCGCGGCGAATGACGCAGCAGCTCACGGACGTGCATTTGCTAGCCGATAGCTTTGCGATTGGAGCAATTGATTTACTACAGCGTACATCCGCAACGTTTACCAGATTTCATCAATAATTGAAAGTCAAACGAGGTTTCTCTCGATAATATTTGCACAAAGTTGCTTGTCGGATCCAAAGACGCAACTCCAAGAAATAAAGAAGTACAAAAGAAAGCAAATAAGGCTGTTATTCTCCCTATGTTTATGTGGTTCACATGATTCGCGCAGTCGTCAGCGCCAACACTTGATAGATGAATGGTCTAGTTTTCCTGTGAGCTGCTGTAAACTTCATTAGGGTCTTTAACATTTGCTGTGACTTACCACAGCAAATGTTAAAGACCCTAATGAAGTTAATGCTCTAATGAACTTTTCATTCTCTATGGAAAAAACAAAGAAAAAACTAAAAACTTAACCGTAACTGAACACAAGACTCGATCCTGGGCGATATCAATCTTACCGTCCCTTCAATATCCCTATTTAAACGGCCAGATGCATTATTCGTCTTCTCCCCGCAAGCATGTCGCAGGCCGCGCCCACAAGCTCCACTGGACGGTTCTATTGCTACACACCCGGAAAGCGTTGACAATGAAAGGCTGAAGACAGCAAGTAACGCACATTCTGTGGACAAGGAAGAAGGATATTTTCAGAAGGTATTGAAAGATTTGTTCCCTGCAGCAAGCAAGTGTATTGGGGTCATGGGGTGCTACACTAAAAAATAAATTTTATTCAGAAAATTCTGCTTTTTCCTCCATACATGCACTGGGAATACATTAAACACCCCTCGTACATGCCACGCCGTGACACGCCATAGATGTAGGAGGGGAAATGAGCTCTAGGAAGCGAAAGACACTGATCACCTGCGTATTCGATGCGGAAATGCGTTCAAGAGTTATCGCATCACCCTTACTGAGGTTCCTTCAGCTCCCTGGCCAAGGTGGCACAATTTTTCAGCCCCCAACGCTATACCGTCAAACATAAAAAAGTCAACAAATATCACTGATTTCACCAAAGTGACATTTCTGATATTTGAAACTAGTGAAGCAGCGAGACAGCAAACTGCCACCCCCCCCCCACGCTCTCGCCGTCGGCAAACCGCGCCATAACACCTTACAGTCCTCATCATTACGGACTGTCGGGGCGGCACAGCCGCGCTGCAATGTGACGCGACAGCGGCTGCGGCTCGGTGACGGCGAATCAGCTGATTTCCATGGAATTCGGCTGCGAATTCCCACTTTTTCAACTCTTCAAGCTTCGAAAGTGGAAGGTGAGTTATTTTGAGCAATTTTAAATTGTACTGACTCTGAAAGAATGCAAGCCATTTGAATAAATGCCTGAAATAAGGCAAAATACAAGGAAAAGAGCATAATAATCGACATAAAAATAAAGGAAATCAGAGCCAGTACAATTCAAAATTGTTCAGAATAACTCACCTTCCACTTTAGAAGCTTGAAGAGCTGAAAAAGTGGGAATTTGCAGCCGAATTCCATCGAAATCAGCTGATTCACCGTCACCGAGCCGCAGCCGCTGTCGCGTCACAGTGCAGCGCGGCTGTGCCGCCCCGACAGATCGTAATGATGAGGATTGCACTTCATCCTATAAGACTGCAACCAACGCTGAACTAGCGACAAGAATGGAATGTTTGCGTAAAGAAAAATTCAACAGTTTCTAAAACGCTCACATTCTCATGATAATACTCGTGATCAATTTGCTTTATAGGGATACCGTCAATAGTTATCGACCCACTGTCCGGTTCGTACATGTGTTGCAGTAAAGATACTATAGATGATTTACCACCACCACTTGGACCCACAAGAGCCACAATGGAACCAGCCGGGATGATCAAAGACAAACCCTGAAATGTCCTTCCGGTTATGAAGGGTGGGTGATAACAGTGACAACAAACTCGATTGCTGTAAAAATAGATCACCTTCAAAACGAGGTTGTTCGGACGAGTAGGATAGGTAAAGTAGACGTCATCAAACCGCACAGTGCCCCGTAAAGCGGGCTTTTCCGTTCCATCCAAGGCCATAGCTGGCTTGCGATGCATGTATTCAAACACCTAGGCTGACATATATTAGAAAATTGACATTAAACCAAACAAGCTCGTTGAACAACTTGGAGGCTGTGTGCACGATTGCTAGAGGAATGTCGCCAGCGTAATCGGTGGAATGGTTGAGAGGTTGTTTGGCCACAACCCTCAGCCCTCCCACCAATGACGTTGCCGACAATCGCCCGCCTCCAATCATTGTGTTCACTCCCTTCAATCATTGGCGACAACGAGCCTCAATGTTGAGAAAAAGTAACAGTTTCCAAACAAATCCAAAAAATCACGAAGTGTGACGCAACAGCTGTTTCCTGAGTAACGTCCCTCAACACTACGGTTCTTTTTATATGCGAAAAAATAAGCGCCGAGCAATGCGCAATAACGAAAGGGAATTTTTCAACGTTCACTGCTGCAATCTTTTGAAATCAGAGCAGTTTTTCCACCGACTTTTCCTCGGTGGGCACATTCGGCTAAAAACTTGTCCTAGGAGTAATTTGATCGACCCCCTCCCCCTAGACAATTTTAGTATTTAGAAAAATGGGGATCCCGAACAAGGAGGGTCGTTTTTTGTTGCTGGGGGAGTGGGGAGGTTGCATTTAGACTGAGAACATTTTTTTGATAGTTGACTTTTCTTGTTTCACGACGCTATGAAGGAGATCTTATTCGGTCGTTTTTGGAAGAGGTCGTACATATTTCCCTCTTCCGATGATTTCTCAAAGAGGTGAGAGGTTGCAGACCTTTTGTGGCATTTCCTGTTTCACATGTGTTATATACCCTCCTCCCCTCGGCCTACATCAAAGTTTTCGGGAAAGTGTAAGGAAATTTTCGAGAAATTCAGGAAGATGTAGGAAGAGATGGTAAGAAGTTTGGAAAATCCAAGAAAGTGGTATGTAGGATGGAAGAGGGGAGAGTCGTATTTTCCTGGCGGTTTTTCTCGTTTTACATGTGCTATATATCCTTCGGCTCGACAGCTTGATCGTCTCAGAGGAGGGGACTAGTAGGGGAGGGGTCGTACCAAGCCACCCTCTAGTGGCAGGGGTCGTACGGGACCAAAGTCCCCAACCCTAATGTGCCCTGGCGTGTGGAGCGTATCCTGGCTGTTTCGTGCCGAGCGATACGCCAGGGCAGTTAGGGATAGATGACGAGACGGGACAGTACCCTTTCTGTTTGCTTGCCTCTTTGATGAGGCTCAGCCTTAGCAGGAGAAGAGATCACAATTTGGACAAAGGGTGCAGATCAGCTTTAACGTGTCCCCCTTTCCCCCAAACATAATTCCATTGGCACCCCATGCAGATGTGATATTCGTATAAAAGAGGTCAAACAACTTCTGGAGGCAGCGATTTCTAGCGATTTTGGTGACTTGAGGTACGTTTGTATCGCGACGCGGGCCAAAGAACCCTATATGCCATGTTTGTGAATTCTTTCGAGAGGTCCATCTATCAAAAACTGTTTCCCAGCAATATACGTTGCATTATATGCATTCCTTTACCAAGAAGCAAAAATAAAAAACAATAACGACCACGACACGGTGCAACTTTACTAGGAGGCAGCAATCGTTTTTTTCATTCCAGTCGCATGACTAGTTACTTGTTAGGACGTCGCTCACAAGGATTAGATCTCATGAGTAGAGTTGCGTCATCTCCAGACGTGTCACGCACGCTGGCGAAAATGAAATGAATATAGTTCTACTCCGCTATCCTTCACAGCCATTTTTATGCTGACAGTACACGTCAGGTTCGATGATGGGGCGTGTCTGCGATGATGGGGCGTATCCGGCTGCGTTTGTCGCGCCACCAAACTCACTGTTGATCAGTTGCTGAAGCGAATAAGTGACAAGCACTGGTGGAGAGCAACTGGATACAAACGGTGCGATAACTCTAGTCGCTTGCCAAAAAAAAGGAAAGGAAAAAACGAGTTCGAGCCGCGCCAATGCCGCCGCGACGCGCCTCATCATCCGTGGCGAACATGACTGCAGATGCTAGCCACAAGCTCTGTGAGGGAAGCAGCTCCGGTGTGGGGGCACCAAACTCTGCACGAACGGAACAGTCTTCTCTTCAAAGCTGAGGTGAAAACCCCATTGTTTTTTTTATTTCACTCTCGCTTTTGTGCTTATTTCTGATACTATGTATAGCCTTCAAAGGCAGTTGGCACGATAATTTGGTACTCGGCCTAAAATGCTAGCAGGGCGCTATATAGTGGGAAAATGGCGAAAGAACGGAGTGAAACGGTCAAAATCCTGCGAAGAAAAAGCCTCCGTTCTCAGTGACTTGTAAATCGATTTCGGACGAGTTTCCCGTGTTTTGCCAATAACCGCTACCGAAGATAGTGTGCTCATATATCCATGCAGCATCACGGCCGCTTCATACCAATCCCTTCGCTTCATAATTTGCTTAGCAAATGAATCAATACGAGCGTCAGGAACGGTCGTCCATTTGTGGGCGGGCGGCGCGTGGGTATGTTGTAGCTTGATAGGGCCCTTATAGGGGTACTTTCCTTGAGAATGGCGCTGCGCAGCGCCTTCTTAGGGGAGCAGAACTCCTTCCTGAGAATGATGAAACCGGGTTTTAATATCCGCGCCAAAACGATGCCAAGTGACCAAGACTCTCGATTGTCCTTAAACAAAGGCTTCAGGCAAAGTCGGTGAAAAAAGCAGGTCAAGACGGCGATAGAAAAATCTGGTACTGATTAGCACTTACGCCAAAAAGAATATCAGTAATTAGAACGCTAAACAAGCAAGTGCGTAAAAGTACATCGATTTGGATTCAAAAGGTCCCCGGTTTGGCATTAAAGCGAAAAATGGGTTCCGTTCCAGGTATTCATGACCACGACCCTTGGTAACCTCATCGCCTAGGTTTGGGTAGAAATGTTTCGGAATTCTCATTAAGTAATTCGAAATTTCCATAAATAAAATAAACAGCAAAATGAAGTAAGAACATGAAAATGACGGAGAGACGTCAATTTCGTGTCCCTGCGCACTGTAAGCAATGCATGCGCCGGACAAAGAAACACCCAAACAGGGGGGAAGCAAAAATGGGTCGACATGCAGGATGTTGAAAAAAAATCAAACATTCACTTTTCTTGATGCACCGACGCAGTCCATGATGCCAGCCACCACGAAAGCTGCCCACTGGAACGAAAGCAATTGAAACATCGTCGAAAATCAAGCGAACATGAGAAAAAAAAACAGAAACCAGCTACAACAGAAAAACAGATGAAACTGGCTTTCACTCCTTTTGAATCGAAAAACTCCTTATGCTCAAAGCTGTGGACGAATATATCGTCTATCCTACATTTTCAGGTACACTTGAAGGAGGGTGACACCAGAATCAGACTACCGTACTTACATAAATATTCTCTCCCAGTTGTATCTGATATAGAAGAAAGGTGAGAAGGTTATCAGCAGTCAAATGATCTGAAAAGGCTATATCGTCATCATGTTCCACGCACTTAATAAAATCCATAGAATAATTTCCAGCTAACAAATTACCTGTCATTACCAAATGACCACCGTAACACAACACAGCAATCAAAACCCCATTCTGATTGAATTCATTGTTCCATGTGTACCCCATGTAAGCAATTGACCTAAACCAACAGAAACAATAAATTGAGGTTTTCCAAATTGATCTTTACTCCCATTCAGAATCGTGGGGTTTAGTGTGACGTGACATATTTACACTACTTCCCGGGCTGTAGGCAAGGCTGCGTACTTCATTTGGGCATGGCGTAGGATGGTTACTTGTGAGATACTTCAATTTGAGACATCCGTCATTTCGTCTGAAGGTGGATAAAAACTGGGTTACAAGTGTCTCGGAATGAAACTATCCTACCAGAGCGCAGCCGTTAAATAAATGACGAACGTCATTTGCGGGGGTTAACCTGTGTACAAGTCAGCGTTTTATCCTCCCAGAGAAGAGTGGTACCAATGTACCAGCCTGGAGCGATGAAATGTCTGGTTGGCCTGGGAGAGGGCCAATCCCGGATTTCGTCTTTAGACTGCGGGCGGTAAGCCGCACCCCACCCAGTGGAGTCAACGTAGCGCCTAAAGAATCTTCGCTCCACGGAGTAAGACAAGTTACAGGTTTTTCACCATATTACAAAACTCAGAGACGGAGGTCTAGTGACAAGTGGCGCGCTTACCACCCTTGCGGTCCTGGGTTCAAATCCCAGGTCGACACCCGCCCAGGCCAACCAAGCCTTCTATCCTCCGGGGAACGTATATTGGTACCAGATTTGTTCAGGAGGATAAGAACACTGACTTGCAGATGGCCCCGCAAGTCATTGTATAGGCCACATCGCATTCAATAAGCCACTACGATTCTGAATGGAAGTAGAATGCGTGCCGCATCCCACTTGATTAATCAACGGTGAAGACATCCTTCTATTACAAAACCAGTCGGAGCGCCGGCTCACGTGGCTCAGCTCCATTTGTGACACGACCCTGTTTCGCTGGACGGGCACATTTTCGCGGTGCGCTATATTCTATGAGTTGAAGTAACCGCATAATGCCAAGTATTCCTCTGACCTCTGCAGTTGATCAACGCTTTTATAAATGTCCGGGAAGCAGTTAAGAATTTTTATGGCAAGCACCGCCCATCCAAAATATGCCCTGCCCACTTCGGGTGTATCTCTTCATTTCATTCGCCTTGTTGGCCTTATTCCATTTTTCCTGGAATCGTAGATGCCCTACGAATCAGATCATGAATCCTCGTCACCGTCACCGCTCAATTCCGATTTACGTTTCGCTCTTGCTAACCAGGAAAGGATGGTTGATGGAAGTCTGAAATGAGACTTATACCGACTGACGCGTCTTTGGACACTCATTTAAAGGCAGTTGGCACGATAAATCGCTATACAGGTGTAGGATTTGTACAACTGGCTTAACAGAATTCCGTGACCTCGGACAGGCGCTGCGTGAAGCCTTTTCCAAGGAGGGTACCTCTATAACGCCCTATTGAGCAACAACTTTACGTCCCAAACGCCTTCCTTGCCCGCCCGCCCACAAACGGACGACCGTTTCTGACGCTCGTATTCATTCATTTGCTGAGCAAATTATGAAGCAAAGGGATTGGTATGAAGCGGCGGTGATGCTGCATGCATATATGGGTACAAATATGCAGCCGTATCTTCGGTAGCGGTGATTGGCAAGATGCGTACGGGAAACTCGTCCGAAATCGATTTACAAGTCACTGAGAACGGAGGCTTTTTCTTCGCCGGATTTTGACCGTTTCACTCCGTTCTTTCGCCATTTCCCACTACATAGCTCCGTACTGCGAATTAGAAAACCATCGTGCCAACTGCCTTTAAACTCTGCCCTCCCAATCTGCTAAACGCTTTTTCTAACGGAATCATGTAGGCTTGCTGAGCTGACCAGTGCTGAAGACCACCAATCTCAACGACTATGTAAATGATGGGTGAACGCAGCTAGCGCGCGTTCCGCTTTCGTAGCGAATAGGTGACCGGCATGCTGATAGTGCACACAGACAAGTGTGAGTTGGAACTCAGGGGTTCCGGGTTCCAACTCAACATGCCGGTCGCTTATTCTCTACGAAAATCGATTGACATTGAAGCCTTGTTCGAATCATTGAAGCCCTGTTTTGCGTTTTTTCTCAAAATGATCTCTGCACATAAAAGCACTCAATTCAGCCTCAATTCAACTCACTTCTTCCTGTTAACATTCAGCGTCGTATTTAAGGTGTCTTCGAACGCATCGGCTTCATAGTTTTCGCAAGCAAATGACCTGAAATTCAGTAATGCTAGCTAATGAGTGCCTCTGAAAGTAATGAATAATATTCGCTTATACTATGGCAGCAACAGTTGTGCCATCTTCGAAATGAGCATCGAAGAGACATCGAAATGCTGTGTGGCCATTGAACCTTTCAAAGTTTGTAATATCGCAATCAGCCGGGGGGGGGATGCAAGGAGGGCAGGATAAGCCTGCTTTCGGCTGCGGTGGACTACCAATGGTGACCGGAAAGTGACCAATTCAGTAAGGAAACAACCAGTGGTGGAAACGCCGCAAAGGGATACCGCTGATTGCGACCCGACTGATTGCAGTGATATCAACTATCTTACTATATATAATCCACTAAGTATGTCTGTCAGTGTGTGTTGTGTGTGTGTGTGTCTGTCTGTCACGAAATTCATAGAACTCCACTAGCCTACTATATAATGTCGATGTCGACGAGCGGCGGGGGGTATATAGTTCGCGCTCGGCGTCAGCCGGGCGATCCGACTGGTACTATATATAATCGGCTATGTCCGTGTGTGTGTGTCTGTGTGTGCGTCTGTCTGTCACGAAATTCATAGCGAGCGTCGCAGAAAAGATAGGATGACAGTTCCAAGAAGTGATATACATGGCAGGACGGGAACACTTTTGGTGGGTGACAGAAGGTGATAACACCTGATAAGATTCGATAAGGGGCCTTAGAAGGGGAGGGTGACCGAGTCCATAGTGCGGGACACAGCAACAGTGGGACATTGGTTCCAAGGTATGATATAGGGTGTGGGACAGGAACATTATTGATGGGTGACAGGGAGTGATATCAGCTGATAAGATTTGATAAGGGGAGTTAGAATGGTAAGGTCACCATACTCATAACGCGATACACAGCATCAGCTAGGCGTTGATTTCAGAAAATGATATAGAGTGGGAGATGGGGACATCGGCGGCAGGTGACAGGAGGTGATAACAGCTGATAGGGGCTGATAAGGAACGTTGCCGTTGTTGTTCTGTCAAAGTGCTGAGCCTTTACACTACCAAATTATAGTTTTAGTGATAGGGACATTGATGACGGGTGACAGGATCTTATCAATTGATAAGAAAGGATAAGGGGCCATTATCATTACATCTCTTATCACTATACTGCCAAGTATTGGAGGCTCAATGTGCAAACTTTTCCTTAGCCATCACTTCTCTGATAACAGTAGGAAATGAACTTCCCACTATCCTACTACATAATGTCGATGTCGACGAGCGGGGGGGGGGGAGTATGTAGTTCGCCTGAAACAGGAAACTCCGGAGAACAGAAAACCTGAGTAGTGCGGCCCTTCATGCGATCAACTACTTTTACTTTTGACCATTCAATTACAGATGGGAAGAAAGAACAAGGGAGTATGTACTTACAAATAATCATACTTCAGGGAGCGGATTGCATGCTAATTGAAAAGGGGAACATTCATCGGTAGGCATTTCGGTGCAGGTAATGGAAACGAAATCTGTTCTTTTACTGAGCGATTCATATTGCGCTGCATTGGCCGACTACACATTGTATGCTAAGTAGTGCAGGATCCAAGGCCTTGCTCTATCTGTTACGATTCGATCACTACAGCGCCGTATGAGCAGCCCACTATAAAAGGTTCCGTTGAAACCATGGATTCTCGGCGTTAGCCGGGCGATACGACTGGTAGATTCATATGAGCTTCTGAGCAGATTCATTGATTCTTATGCCACCACTGAGCATTCACCTTCTAGAAATTGTTCAAAGAATTGGTAGAGAGCTCGTCCACTCATAGTAATTCGGAGCTTATACAGGTGGTGAACGGAGATCAAAAAACTGGAACGAGAGCAGGTGTCGAAGTCTGCTCATCCACGAGGTGCCATTGGGATTCGCTCGCTTTTGCAAGCTGAGCTGATCGCGGACATTTGATTGCAGGATGCACACCTTCAGGAAAGGCCAGTCCACTATCACCCATGTCACATCACACGTGCTTGGCAATGCCATATGTATCTCGTGTTAATGCTACGCCCTCCGCGGGAGCTGACGGGACCCGGCGGGTGTGGGAATTGCGCGAGTATCCCCAATGCAAGGACGGCATCGGTCGGCAATCAGGTTAGTCCGAAAGACGTGCAATGTGTTGAAGGCTCGCGTTGCGACGATGAATGTTGGGTCGCTGACTGACGCTCGTGTATAGGTAGCAGAAGCATTAGAGCGTAGAAAGAACGACCACTCCGTGCAAAAGACGAGATGGGCTGGTTGCAAGTCGAAAGAAATAGCCGCGGCTTCAAAGCCATTCTTTGTGGCGGGCCGAATTGGTGTGACAGTAGGTGTGGCTGTAATCACGTCTCAGCGGTTCCGTACTCGATCGCGAGCGTAGTTCGTTTCGACGACCGTTTAATGAAGATTGTTGTCGCTATTGAGCAACGACTGTACCACTTCTTCTCTGCATATGCCCCACAAACTGGATGCTCTGAGCAATCCAAAGACGAGTTATGGACTCTACTGGATAAGAACACTGCTGAAGTGCCATCAGAATACTACTGTTGCTGGCGACCCAAACGGACACAGACGCGCTGCGAAAGACGGTTATCTTGTCATGGTGGATTCGGTTACGGTTCCCGGGACGCCAGTGGTGAGCGAGTTCTTTAGTAAGCAAACATGCATAACACGTCATTCTGAACGCAAAGTTTCGTAAAAAATCTCCCATCTTATCACGTATTACAGCGGGTGTACCAGACACAAAGAGAACCTGTAGAATAGATATCACGTTCTATAGCAGGAGTACCAAGACACAAATAGACTTCGTTCTCATCAGGCATGGCGATCAGGGACTCGTAACGGACGCGTAGGAC